CAACAACAACAACAACAACAAAAAACAAATAGCTGGGCGTTGTGGTAGGCACCTGTACTCCCAGTTACTCAGGAGGCTGAGGTAAGAGAATCGCTGTCCCTGTCAGTAGACCCTTGGGGAAGGTAACCTGAGTTTACTCTCTATTTTTTCTTTTCTTTTTTTTTTTTTTTTGAGACAGGTCTCACTTTGTAGCTCTCAGTAGAGAGCCTTGGTGTCATAGCTCATAGCAAAGCAACTTCAAACTCTAGGGCTCAAGTGATTATCTTACCTAAGTCTCCCGAGTAGCTGGGACTATAGACACAAACCACAATGCCTGGCTATTTTTAGAGACAGGGTCTTGCAATGGCTCAGGTGGGTCTCCAACCCATCAGCTCAGGTAACCCACCCGACTCTGCCTCCCAGAGTGCTGCGATTACAGGCATGAGCCACCATACCCAGTCTCTCAGACTTAACTCTCTAAATTCAACATTATAGGCCAGGCATGGTGGCTCACACCTCTGATCCCTGTACTTGGGAGGCCTAGGCAGGTGGATTGCCTGGAGTAACGAGTAAGACACACACCCCCACCCCATCTACCCTTACCTCCCCACCCCCGTCTCTAAAAAATAGCCATCTTGGCACCTGTGGCTCAAGCAGCTAGGGTACCAGCCACGTACACCTGAACTGGTGGGTTAAATCCAGCCCAGTCCCATTAAACCACAATGACACCTGCAACCAAAAAAAATTAGTCGGGTGTTGTGCCAGGGGCCTGTAGTCCCAGCTACTTGAGAGGTGGAGGCAGGAGAATCGCTTAAGCCCAGGAGTTGGAGGTTGCTGTGAGCTGTGATGCCATAGCACTCTACCCAGGGCGACAGCTTGAGGCTCTGTCTCAAAAAAAAAAGAAAATAGCCGGGTGTCTATAGTCCCATCTACTTGGAAAGCTGAGGCAAGAGAATTGCTTAAGCCCAAGAGTTTGAGGTTGCTGTGAGCTGTGCCTGCCACAGCATTCTACCAAGGTGGACAAAGTAATACACTGTCTCAAAAATAAATAAATAACGCTGGGCACGGTGGGTCATCCCTGTAATCGCAGTACACTGGAAGGCCGAAGCAGATGGATTGCCTGAGTTTGTGAGTTCAAGACCAGCCTGAGCCAGAGCCAAAGTGAGACCTTGTCTCTAAAAAATAGCCAAGCATTGTAGCAAGCGCTTGTAGTCCCAGTTACTTGGGAGGCTGAGGCAAGAGAATCACTTAAGTCTAAGACTTTGAGGTTGCTGTGATGCCAGGGCACTCTACTTGAGGACAACATAGTAAGACTCTGTCTCAAAATAAATAAATTCAACATTATAGTATCAAAGAAGTTTGCTGCAAGAGAAATATATAAAGCATTCTAAAATAAAGCAAGATTTATTTGAAAGAAAGAAGGTTGTTGGCTTGGTGCCCATAGTACAGTGGTTGCAGCACCAGCCACATACACCGATCGTAGCAGGTTCGAACCCATCCTGGGCCAACTAAACAACTGAAACAAAAAATAGCCAGGTGTCATGGTGGGCGCCTGTAGTCCCAGCTACTTGGGAGGCTGAGGCAAGAGAATTGCTTAAGCCCAAGAATTGGAGGTTGGTGTGAGCTGTGATGCCACAGCATGCCACCAAGGGCAACATAGTGAGACTGTTTCAGGAAAAAAAATAAAAAAGAAGGTTGTTGTGTTCAGTAGTTTTTAAGGTTATTTTTTTCACATTTTTGACATCTTGTTGCAAAATCAAAGTCATTTCTTCATTCAAGAACTGAGTGAATAGCCAG